TTATTTTTAAAAAGCTTTAAATGACTTTTTGATATTCTTTATTCATTTTTTGATTAAATGTGTGAATTTTTTCCACCCCAAAAAGAAACTATTTACCCTTTAAAAAAAAGAACAGATACAAGGTATTGTAGGTACTAACCATGTATAATGCACATCCTTATTTTTCCTTCAAAAATTTGGGTAAAAATGTGTGCATTATACACAGCAAAATATAGTAAATGAGAAAAGACAACATTTTATATGTTAAATTATATTGGATAAATTGGCTTATCCAAGTGGGTAATAATAGATCTTTATCTCACTTAAATTATTTTTCCAAATAATTTCATTAAAAAATTTTTGTAGGGAAAAATTCAGGGCAAAATGAGGCTAGAAATACAAGAATTTTTATCAGCCCATGTTGTATAAGAAATTTTATGTGAAACAGTTAAGTCATTTCTCACAAATGGATGACACCAATTAATGAAGAAAAAAACCTGAAATATAAATTTCTTATATAATCAATGTTATAAAGTTGATAACTTATGTCCATGTTTTCAAAATTTCAAAATTGTCTGTATAGAGTTATAACAATATGCCTTGCCCATAAAATGGTTACGATTCTATATTGTTTGCTGAAAGTTGCTCTGGCTGTAAGGAAGAAATCCACTGTGGTTTTTCAGTGGCATCCTATCACTTAGGATTATCCTTGCCAACAGGCTCTGTCCATGTTTAAACTAATAGTACCATCCACAAAATTGCTATTTAGCTTCAATGTATAACAAATTTCTTAAAACAACGGTGAAGGAGAGAAGAGCTTGGTTTGCAAATGATGACATGCTATGAGAGCTTCCTCTTAATATATCTGCAATCTTCAAATAGTATAGAAGCTGAGCATTCTCTATGAGTAGTTTGTAAACACGTTTAGTACGAAAAAGTTCTGTATCCAATTCCAGTATGGTGGGTGAAAGATTTTCCCCCACTCTACCAAGTAATTCACTGACGCTAGCTCAGTGACTTGCAGTTCAATTCAATTCTGACACCAGCTACCAGAAAACAATTTCAGATTCCACAGGTTATGAGTTCAGTCCTATAAGACTGTCCCCTCCCCTACTGCCGACAGAGTCGGACAAGATCAGAGGTTCCAATGATCCACTCCTTGGATTTGATTAATTTGGTAGAGCTCTCTCAGAACTCTGAGAGAACTCAGAGAAACATTATACATGCTAGCTTACCAGATTTTATAAAAGGATATAACTCAGGAACAGCCAGCTGGAAGGAGTGCCTAGGGCAGTGTATCAGAAAAGGGTACAGAGCTTTCATGCCCCCTCTGAGTACACCACTCTCCCCAAATCTCCATTTACTCATCGAACTGGAAACTCTCCAAACCCACTCCTTTGGGCTTTTATGGAGGCTTCATTACATGGTCAGGATTCATGAATTTAACCTATAGCTCTCTTCTTTCCCCACAGGTCAAGGGAACGGGACTGAAAGTTCCAACTTCCTAATTATATGGTTTTGTTCCCAGGTAACCAGCCCCCATCCTTAACTGCATTCTAAAAATTGCCTTAGTAACATAACAAAATAATTTCCTTATGAATATCTTGATAACCTCTTTATCACTCTCATCACTTAGGAAATTTCAAGGTTTTTAGGAGCTCTGTGCCAAGAAGGGCACAGAGACAAATGTATATTTTTCTCATTGTAAATACAGTATCACAGCAGGATATCCATTTTTTTTGAAGAAAATAATAAAGATTCACCAAAAAATCACAGTAAATAGTTCAATATGCTGTTTTGTTTAAAAATCACACAGCCCTGTTTATAAAATAAATGGAATGAATAAGAAAGAAAAAAATTTCAAAACTTAAATTTGACGTCTCTATTTTCTAGATGAGAGTCTTTAAAATCACTTATTAACTTCTTTTATTGTTGCATCTGGTGTTACACTACTTAATTCTGTCTGAAGTTTGGAAGAAGGTGCCCTTAAGGCAAGATCTCTGGGTCTTTCTAGTTGTGTGATCCAAAAGAAGTCAGAAAATTTGAAACCTTAGTGTCCTCATGTTACAGTAGGCAGTTAGTTAGATATTAACAAAAGGGGAAGGAGCCAATGGTATCGTCACCCCAGTAAATCTGTAAAAACAATTCAATATGCTATATTCATGGGTGGTGGGCATTGTTCCACCAAATGGAGCAAAACTTCCTGTTTTGTCCACTTGGCAGTGAGGATAGTTTTACAGCCCTGAAAGGGGTGAGGATGGGGAGGTAACCAGTACTTTTCTGCTAGGTTAATGAAAATGGCCAGAGGGAATTCCTTCTGCTGAGTGCATGCACGATAGGAGCCAAAATGGCGACCACACCAGGGGGAGGGCAAAGCCTGGGAAAGTCCAGGGAAAGACACAAACCCCGGAGAATCCAGGAAAGAGATTGGATAGGGGGAGTGCACCAGCACACGCCTGGGGAAAAGCTAGGAAAGAGATCGGGTAGTTTGAAAGAAAGCGTGCTCTTTCCCAAACCCAGGGAAATGCATGAAAGCTAGACAAAGAACCCAGTGTGAGACCTTCTTCTTTCAGGCTTGTACTTTTTGCCATTTTTCCTCCTAAAAGCTAAGGGACCCCACATGACTTGCCTACAGGGGAACAGCAAGCAGCAGCAGAGGATTTCCTTTGCCTCTGCAACTTCCTTTCCTGAGTCCATGCAGCTGCTGCCCTGTAGCTTGCCTGCTCTTTGTCTCTCTAAGAGTATACTGTCACTTTTCACTCCAATAAATCATGTTACTATCACTTAAAACTTTTCCTACATGTGTGTTGCTGAAATTCTTTTCCTGAGACATTGCCCAAGAACCTGTTTCCTCTGGTTCTACATATGTAGAATTCTGATAATAAAGTCCACCTCAGAAGGGTGTTGTATAGTTTAAATAATATCATATACATAATTTAATGTTTGCTATACATTTTGCAAAAGTCTAAGTACTTTAAGGCAGTTCCTATGGAGATAATGATTTTTATAATTCACAACTTTAAGCCAGAAACCTCAATGCAGTTGGGATTTGTAGTAGTAAAATAATTGTTATGATTCTCAGAGATAATTGAGCTTTATTTAAAGGACACACTTAAAAAATTCTTATAGATATGATTTTTTAATTATGAACTGGATTTGAGTATACAACTTAGCGAACAGTCATATACTTTACATAGTGTTCCCTCGATATTTCCAATACCCTACCTATTGACTGTATTTCCTATGCTTTACTTACTTCCCCATGGCTATTTTGTAACTACCAATTTGTGCCTGTTAGTCCTTTCAACTTTTTCAAGGAGCACCCTAGACCACCCTCCCTTCTGGCAATCACCAGTTCTCTCTCTGTATCTATGAGTCTGTTTCAATTTTGTTTGTTTGTTTATTTTGTTCTTTAGATTCCACATATAAGTGAAATTACATGGTAGTTGTCTTTCTCTGACTGACTTATTTCACTGAGCATCCATCCATGCTGTCACAAATGGTAAAATTTCATTCTTTTTTATGGCTGTGTAATATTCCACTGTATAAAGGTACTACAGCTTTTTTATGTACTTGTCTGTTGATAGCACTTGGGTTGCTTCCATAGCTTAGCTGTTGTAAGAACATACATTTGATAAATCCTCTATTTCATTTCTATATGAGGTGGTAGGATTCACCCTAGAGAAACTTCTATGCTCCTTCTCTCTTTCCTTCCCATAAAAAGACTTGAACATTACAGGCTGATCTAAGTAGGAGAAATAGCATGTCCCCCTATTATTTAGTGATTCAGGGTACACAATCCCAGAAAGGTCTTGAGATTTCTGTACCCTCAGCAGTGAGAGAACAGTCATGCCCTCCCTTGCATGATAGGGAGAGCGAGTCATGACAATGTTGCTCTAACTGCTTAAGCCTTGAGCATATTTTGAAAATCCACAATGATCCCTAATGTAGGCCACTTATCAGTCTGCACATTTTGGATCATTTCATTGTACATACCTCTCTAAGGTTATGTACAAGTTCTACATAAATTTGTGTAGAACTTGGTATCTTTGTGAAGCTTTTTTAAATGAAAATTAAGAGTGGCTTCAAATCCAAGTCATTCAGTTTGCCTTTCCTCCAGGTTTCCCTGTAATCTGGATCCATTTCTGTGCCCATTTACTCTCTACTGTGAACCCAATAACCTAATCAGGTTTTTGTCCTCAATGATGCTCTTTAATATCTTTGCTTCATAGGTTGTCTAGACAGCCATTAGTATACGTGCACACACACACTCACACAAACATACTTGTTTTTAACGGAACAGTGCTTTTGGGCTCTTGAGTCCAATTATGACTTTCTCCCCTGACGATGATCCCGGAACATATCATGAGATTTCATTCTGTGAGGAATGTGTTGCTGTGATCCAAACATTCCTGATAAACTGTGGTCACGGGGGTAATGTTGGGAAGCATTTTAAAAAAGTTACGCTATAATTTGTGTCACATTTCCTTGTAGATATTTAGCATGTGAAGCTTATTTGGGGACCCACAGACAATTGTCATTCATGAAGTAAAACTTGATTTTCACTGGCTCTTTCTTATATGTGTCATGACAAAAGACACATTTATGAAAAAAAATCTGTAAACTGAAAATAAAATACCAGGTACCAGGCTCTATAAGTAGCCACGTCGCTGTACACTTCACCAATTGGTTTAATGTTTATATTCACTAATATTTACATCTTTATTTGAAATGAGGGAGGCAATATCTTCTATACTCTGTGAATTAAGCTTTATATGTGATCGGTGCTGAATCCATATTTTGTCAAAGTAAGGACACACAATTTTTTTTCCCTGCTTTAGAAATGTGTATAGATATAGCAATGAAATAATAAGACACTTAAACCACTTGCAGTTAAGCACTATTTACCTTGCAATGAATGAGACTAGACCCTTGGTTTGCTTTGTAGATTATTTTAATGATTGATTTAAAATAAAAGTAAAGGAGTGAGGAATTTTTAGTTTATGTAAGTTATACAGGGTAGACAAACATCTGGTTGGTGGGATGTGCGAAAAAGCAGGGGAAGGAGTTAAAGAGAGGAAGAGGGACCCAGGGGTGCCCTCAACTGAGTTATGTCAACGTGAGAAGTCTAATCACAAGGTTATTAAATCACAAGATTTAAATATGAGGCTGATGTTGAACTAGACCTTTCACTGCAGAGTGAGAAAATTGAAAACAATATTACTTCAGGATGTATCAAGACAGGAATGGGTGGCATTGATGTAAATATCTGATGCCCACATATCATTAGTGAAAAACTGGGATCTCAAGTATAATTAAAACCAAATGAAATTTAGCAGAAGCTACCGAAGCAAATTAAGGGAAAAGATACAATCCAGGGGACGTTTCCTCAGCATCACACTCTAGCTGAAACCAGCAGCACTTATTTTATCTTTGCCGCAAAGACAACTGGCTTTGCACAATAGTCTAACTGTCTGGTGGCTGCATCCATGCACCTGTTTTAGCATCTTACAGTTAGTGTACTCATCATAGTAGATGCACGGGTTAGCTGAAAGGAAAAGAAAACATGGTTACACAATATTAACTTCAAAAATTCCCTGTCACTGGAGAAAGAGATCATTTCCTTAAAGATATAAAAATAAAATTAATTAATAACTAATTAATTTTGATTATCATAAGCTAATAAAATTAGAAAGGAAAACAGGTAAGGAGTGAGTTATTAAAAAAGATGAAAGTATATTAAGTCTGACATTAAACAGGTTTCTTTAACCACAATTTTTTTTTTTGGCAGAACATATCTAAACAGATTAAAAATGAATCATCTTTATAAATTAGAATGTCATTTTGAAACCATCAACATCATACACTATATATAATAAAGTGCTAAAATTTTTGTTTATTCATTGTAGTCTGTTTATTTGATGTTCTACCATTTAATAAGTAAGGTATAGCTTTGGATTATTAAAATAAATGTACACCCACATATGCTAGGGCTTATTTCTGGGCTCTCTATTCTATTCCAGGGACACATGTCTGTCATTAAGCCAGTCCACACTGATTACTGTAGCTTTGTAGTAAGTTTTGAAATCAGGAAGTATAAGTTATCTAGCATTTTTTTAATGAAAAAGTTAATATATTAGCCAATGAAAAATTATATAAAATCTGCGTATAGAATAGGAAAGTTTCTTAAATAATCTCTTTACCCAGAAATTTTTCTTAAATAAAAATGCAGTGGGTTCTAACCTATGAACAGGCACATATATTCATCAATATTCTTTTAAATAAGTTATCCATCATTATCCCACTGTCTTCTGATATGTAATATTTTAGAAAAATATGATGTGATGGATTTTTTCTTTGTATGTAACATAGTTTCTCTTTGACCTAAGTGTTTTCATTATTTTTTTTCTTTTATTCTTTTCTCTCCTTAGTTTTATTGAGATATAACTGCTATATAACATTATTTTAGTTTAAGGTGTACAACACACTAATTATATATATATATATAAATAGATAGATAGACAGATAGATACTATACATAAATATTATATATATGAATACTATGTATATCAGATTGTCTTTATCCATTTATCTGTTAATAGACTGGTTGTTTCCATGTCCTGGCTTTTGGTAATAACAATGAACCTGAGGGTGCAGATATCTTTTTGAGCTAGTGTTTTCAGTTCTTTTGGATAAATAACTAGAAGCAGAGTTGCTGGATCATATGATAGTTCCATTTTTAATTTTTTGAAGAACTTCTATACCACTTGCCATAATGACTGCACCTGTTTACATTCCCATCAACAGGGTACAAGGGTTCCCTTTTTTCCACATCTTCACCATCACTTGTTATCTCTTGTCTTTTCCATAATAGTCATTCTAACAAGTGTGAGGAAAAAACTCATTATAGTTTTGATTTACATTTCTCTGATGATTAGTGATGGTGAGTGTCTTTTATGTGCCTGATAGGAGAGAGTGTCATAGCGTTAAGGGCAGTCACTCTCTTCTTTGGAAAAATGTCTATTTAGTTCCTCTGCCCACTTTTAAATTGGATTGTTTGGAATTTTTGTTGTTGAGTTGCGTGAGTTCTTTATATATTTTGGATATGAATCCCAATTCAGATATATGATTTGCAAATATTTTGTTCCATTTATAAGTTGTCTTTTCATTCTGATAGCTTTCTTTGCTATGCAGAAGCTTTTTAGTTTGATGTAGTAGCACTTGTTTATTTTTGCTTTTCTTGCTTTTGCTTTTGGTATCAAACTTTAAAAGTCATTGCCAAGACTGATATCAATGAGATTTCCCTCATGTTTTCTTTTAGGAGTTTTATGGTTTCACATTTCATGTTCAAGTTTTTAATCTACATTGAGTTAATTTTGTATATGGTATAAGAAAGTGGTTCTGTTTTATTCTTTTTCACATGGCTGTCTAGTTTTTCCAACACAATATGTTGAAGCAACTACCCTTTTTCCTGTATATACTTGGCTCTTTTGTTGCAAATTAATTGACTACATATGCATTGGTTTATTTCTGGGCTCTGTCTTCTGTCCCATTGGTCTATATTTCTGTTTTTATGTCAATATCATACTGTTTTGATGACAAAAGTTTGTAATATAGTTTAAAATCATGAGTGTGATACCTTCAGCTTTACTCTTTTTTCTCAAGATTGCTTTGATTATCTGGGGTCCTTTGTGGTTTTATGCAAATTTTCAGATTAATAGTTCTATTTCTATGAAAAATGTCAATGGAATTTTCATAAGGATTGCATTGTCTGTAGATTGTATATGTATATTTTAATGTATATTTTAACAATATTAATTCTTACAACCCATGAATATGTAATATATTTTCATTCTTTGTGTTTTCTTCAATTTCTTCATCAATGTATTATACTTTTCAGTGTATATATCTTTTACTTTCTTGGTTAAATTTATTCTTATGTATTTTATTCTTTTTGACATAACTGCAACTAAGATTGGTTATTTAATTTTTTGACAGTTTGTTATTTGTCTACATAAACAGAACTAATTTTTGTGTATTGATTTTGTATCCTGCAACTTTACTGAATTCAATTATAAATTCTGGCAGTTTTGGTGGAGTTGTTAAAATTTTCTATATACAATATCATGTCATTGAAATTAAAAAGTTTTACTTCTACATGCCATAATAAGGTCAGGCAGGTAGGGAAATTATGGAGCAGCAAGCAATGTGAGAACGCTGGTAACTTGAAAGCAATATGTCTAATTTAAAGGCTTCAGTAAATGAGCCCAGAAATTTCTAATAGAGCATAGAAAGATTTATACTTATGTTAACGTTTTATCTAGGGTGCCCCTGTTTGGGTCTTTAAATTTTAGGGTGAACACTTGAATTTAGACTTATTCCCATTCTAATAGATTTCATCAATGGTCTAGGTAGCTCTGGGGAGAAGGGAAAATCAACTAATGTTGATCTTTCCTGTTAAATGATTGAGATAAAAGTTATAGGACAGTGAAATATTATTCAATGATTGATTTAAAAGACTCATGATTCCTAAATCAACAGTCAACATTAAGTGAACTGGAATGTAAAACTTACTACAAAGTTTATCTTCACAGTTATTTGGACAGGCTTCACATGGAATTCCCAGCATATAAGGTTGATTTTTTATGCCAGGTTCATTTCCCCTTTAAAAAAAAAAGTGGACTAATAAAATTGATGTTTGAAAAACATATAAAATGTACTCATTATTCACAATCAACTTTAAAAACAATTTTTGAAAACCACTTGTATATAACAGTGATAATCTTTAAAATGGGTTTACTATTTCTAGACTAACAATGATGATAATTTCTCTCTTTAAATGTACAACTGGAAACTGTGGTATCCTAAGAATATTTTGAGGCAGTTTGCACCTCTTTGGACAGTCAAGTCCTAAGTAGCAGGACAGCCTTAGAGCCATTTACAATAGGAAACTTTTCTTTATATTCATAAGGAATTGATTAACGGTCATGCAAAAGTACATGTTCTTAGCAATGCTAAGAAAAGTTTTGGGTCAAGACGGCAGCGTAGGCAGACATGGCTCACCTCTTCTCACAACCATATTCAAAATTACAACTAAAATATAAAACAACCATCACTCAGACCATTGAAAATCAAGTTGAATGGAAGCCTGACAACTACAGAATTAAAGAAACCACATCTGTTGTGACTGAACAGGCAAGCTGGTGCCATATCTGAGACCCCATCAACATGGCTAACATTGTTTGACCTGCTTTGGGGATCCCAAGAGACTCGGCCTGACCCAAAGTACAGGCCCACCCAAGCTCCTTTTCTATATGAATGGCTGGTCTTGGCTCATGCTTCACAACTTCCTAAATCCTATCAAACAAGCAACAGGTGGCCAACACTAGCAGCAGTGAGCCTAGATTTGCAGATTGGCTTCACCTGGGAATCTCCAAGCCCAGCACAAGTAGCAGCTATCTCACATTGCTCTGTAGCTCAGGCAGGGTGGCCCCAAGCAAAACACAAGTGGGGGCTGCCAACAGTAACCAAAGCTCAACTACAGAAGGAGGGTATACTCAGTCCACACGAAGGGCACACCATGTGTGCCCAGCTTGGGTGATAGGGGAGGCTGTGCCACTAGACTCTATAGGACACTTATTACATTAGGGCACACTACCAAGAAAGAGAGTCAAAGCAGTTAACCTACTACATAGAAACAAATACAGGCAGGTTCCCAAAATGAGGAGACAAGGCAACATGATTCAAATGAAAGAACAGATCAAAACTTTAAAAAAAGAGCTAAACAAAATGGAGATAAGCAATCTATCAGATGCAGAGTTCAAAACACTGGATACTCAAGGAACTTAGAGAGGACCTTAACAACATAAAAAAGATCTAGTCAGAAACAAAGGATACACTAATTGAAATAGAGAACAATTTACAGGGAAACACAGAAGAGTGTTTGAAGCCAAGATTCAAATCAAAGCTATGGAACATAAGAAAACAAAAAACAACTAATCAGAACAAGAAGGAGAAAAAAGAGATCTGAAAAAAAAGAGTATAATATGATTAGCCTCTGGGACAACTTCAAGAGGTCCAACATTTGCATCACAGGAGTGCCAGAAGGGGAAGAGAAAGAGCAAGAAATTTAAAATCTATTTGAAAAAATAATGAAAGAAAATGTTCCTAATTTGGTGAAGGAAATAGACGTGCAAGTCCAGGAAGAACCAAGAGTCCCAAACAAGATGGATACAAAGAGGCCCACTCCAAGACACATCATAATTAAAATACCAAAAGTTAAAGATAAAGAGAGGATCTTAAAAGTACCAAGAGAAAAGCAGTTAGTTATCTGCAGAGGAGTTCCCATAAACTTCGCTGATTTCTCAAAAGAAACGTTGCAGGCTAGAAGGGTTTGGCAATAAATATTCAAAGTCATGAAAAGCAGGGACTTACAGCCAAGATTGCTCTACCTAGCAAAGTTATCATTTAGAATATAAGGACAGATAAAGAGCTTCCCAGACAAGAAAAAACTAAAGGAGGCCATCATCACCAAACTGTTATGATATGAAATGTTAAAGGGACTTATTTAAGGAAGAAAATCAAAACTATGAACAATAAAATGGCAAAAAAATACAAATCTGTCAACAGATGAATCTAAAAAACAAATTAAGCAAATGAGAAGAACAGAGACAGAATCATGGATACAGAGAGCATTTTGATGGTTGCCAGGTGGAGGGAGGTGTGGAGGAAGGTGTGAAGAGGTGAGGGGATTAAGAAACACAAATAGGTAGTTACAGAATAACCATGGGAGTATAAAATACAGTATAAGAAACAGAGTAGCCAAAGAACTTATATGCATGACTCATGGACATGAAGAATGGTGGAGAGATTTCCTGTGGGAGTGCAGGGTGCTGTGTGGAGGGGGAAAAGTGGGAAAAATCAGAACTGTAATAGCAAAATCAATAAAATGTAATTTAGAAAAAGGAAAGAAATTTTAAGTGCATGGGGATTTTCTATTTTTCATCTTGCACCACATCATAAGAAACTTGATACACATTACTGTCTTTTATAGAAACATATGAGGTATTATAAAAAAATAAAAGTACACTAGCATGGCTAAATCTAGAGAGTTTTGGGAGGGAGTGAGTAGGTAAGAATTTGCAGTTCTGAGATCATTTGAAATTGCAAAGAAGACAGGCTTACTTGCAGATATCTAAGAAAACAATGTGGATCACAGCTGATTTGTACTTAATATCACTTAAAAAATAAATTAAATGTTTTGGCTCAAAGAACATTGTACCTAACACTTTTTCTCTTTGATATTTATATTGTTAAAATTTTACCTTAGAAAGGAAATTTATCACTTAATTAAGGATTTTTGTCAAAAACATGGTAAAATCTTTTTCCAAGAAAATTCTCCTCACTCTACTTTCTTTACTATTTCCAGAAGTTCACCACAGACCATCAACCCCTTCAAAGATTCAGTACAATTGATGAGTTATAAATGCAAGCAGATCTTACTTTTCTCAGTATTAATTACATAGATAAAGTCACATTGTATATTAACTACTAAAACAAAGACATAATAAGACCAGAAATAAATCCTATAGAGCTATTATATGATATTTTATATAAATTACATATATGGTGATTTTAGGGAACTCATATACAGTATAGAGGTGGTAGCATATTATCAGATAAATCATTTTCATTGGTTCACATTGAACATCTTTTATTGTGCTACACATATGGGACACAGTGGTAACACAGCATGAGGACAAAGGAGTACACCTGCCCTTCACTGAAGCAATCAGATTATTTCTTCTAGGAACTGATACTCACACTGTTGAACATGTAAATTTAATTTCTAAAGAAAAGACATACACCAATAGTTACACTGAAAAGCTAAATACAAGAATGCTTGGATTTTTCTGTTTATTCTTGATAATCCACTATGTTTCTGCCCTTGTATTATAAAAATACTCTGCATTGTTGAAGTAAATATCCTCTTTCTTTTTCTTTTCTTTCTTTTTTTTTTTTTTGCTTAAGCTAGTTAAAATTTGTCTCCCTTAACTAATATTACTTTAAATACCAATAATACATAGCAAAGCTAGGGGTAATAGTTCTGAATTTGGACATTCTATTAGTAATATATAGATTTACTTACAAAAATATGATGTAAAGAGAAGTGTGTGTGCATGTGTTTAATATTTTAGTTAATGACTAAATGACATTTTATCTCTAAAGTTCTGCTTAACTCATATGATGTATTCATTTGATTTTTATTTTATGTTTGAGAAACTAGAATAAGGGAGGGGGATATATTTCTAAAAGTTATGTGAACCCAAGCTGTATAATACATACTCATGGCAATAATGACAAACATAGAGATATTGAGGTGATGTTCTTTTGCAGCATGGTGACACGCCGCAGCCAATGAGGTAAGAATAAGCCCAAACAATCTGTAAATATAAAGACATTATTTTATTAGTAATGATATTTTGCTAAATGGTTATAATATGAATATTGTTATCTATGATTGAAAATAAACATCTTTGCTGTTAGGGTACTTTGAGTGTAGCTTATTAGGAAGTCATAAAAACAGAAAGATTTCCATGTTTATAGTTAACACATATACATATCACACTCAGTGGCCATCATTGACTGTGGCTCGTTCTCTTCTTTCCCTCAAATCTATATGGAAAATCAGGATACTTGATGAAGGTGGCTTGGTGATTATACAAAAATCAAAATATGGAGGAAACTTTACTTAAGCATCAATGAATAGGCATAGTGCAGAGCAATGAGTTGGCAAAATAACTCAGGTTCAAATTTTTATCTCTACCTCTACTTGGCGGGATGATATTTACCATGATATACCATGATATTGTAGTTTTATAGGACAATGTCCTTGTAATTAGGAGATACATATTAACATACTAAAAATTAAGTGTCATGACATCAGTAACTTACTTTCAAAGGGTTCAGAAAAATGTGTATTTTTATAGACATATAAACAAATTTGACAAAATGCGAAGAATTTATAAATATAAGTAGGAATATATATTTATTAGACCTTTAATGAAAATCCTTTGTGGACTTAAAATGCTGTGAAATAAAAGGCTAGGCAAAGAAGAGTGGTGGCAGAAAGATGATGGATTAGGAAGTTCCAGGTCCTTATTTTCTCATGGATATAGTAAAAATAACTACTAGATTCTGGCAAAAATAACTTTATAGAAGTTGTGAAAAACTGTCAAAGATTTATAGCAACTAAGTGAACACCAAATTAAGGAAAAAAAACATAATTGAAATGGTAGAAAATTTCAATAACTTTTTACTCTTCTTCAACATACTGCCTCTCTGCTTGCCACAGCATTATTGGAAGTAGATGGTCTTGATTCTGTTTCCTCATCTGGGCTGGAGGGAGTAGAGAGGACCTTATTCGCAATGTTCTAACCTCCCATGTACTGCCCCAAGGAATAGTCTTGTTTTCCTGATTTAGAGTACGGATGGTAATCTGTGGCATAATTCAGATCTCAGGCTAGGAAAAGCCATGGGAAACAGGGGACTTAGCTCATTAAAGCTGAAGAGGAACTACAATCCCACTGACACCTGGGGCAAAGGATTATGTGTAATAAAATACTGTAGAACATGTTAAATGCCAAAAAGAAGAAGAGATGAGAAATTGTGGAAAATTAAGACATTTAAAAGTAGCTATGCATTTGGGGCAATTAAAAATAAACCAGAGACATATTCTCAGGAAAGATACCTGCTCAAAAAAAATAACATAAATTGACCCCTAAATTTTATCCTGGACTGATGCCCAGTCTCAAATATTCCCTGCTAATCAATCAAGGTCTTTCCTAGCAGTTGGAAAATACTGGAGAAGTTGCTCCTTTTGTTTAAATGCCCTATTTTCAACAACAACAAAAATCACAAGGTATATAAAGAAACAGAAGAATGTGGCCCATTAAAAGGAACATAAGAAATCACAGAGACCATCCCTGAATATGCACAGGCATTAGACTTACTACACAAAGACTTTAGGGCTACTATCTTAAATATGCTTAAAGAACTAAAGAAGAACACAGAAAAGAAACTAAAGTAAATCAGGGAAACAATATATAAACAAAATGAAAATGTCAAAAAAGATTAAAATTATCAAAAAAAAGAACCAAATGGAAATTCTGGAGTTGCAAATACAATAACTACATTCAAAAGTTTACTACAAGTGATCAGTAACATATTTAAACAATCAAGAGAAAGCATTAACCAACTATCAAACAGGTCATTTGAAATTATCATATCTGACTAGCAAAAAGAAAAAAGGAATGAGGAAAACTCAACAAAGCCTAAGGGGTTAGTGGGACATCATTAAGTAGACCAGTTTTACATATTTTGGAAGCGAAAAAAAGATTATATAGAATAAAAGTAGTAGAGAGATTAATTGAAGACATTGTTTAAGATTTCTCAAATTTGAGGAAAGGCATGGGTCTACAAATCCAAGAAACTCAATGATCTCCAAGTAGAATACAACCAATACTAAGATATATTTAAACTGTCAAGAGTAAATATTCAGAGAAAACCTTGAAAGCAGGAAAAATAAAGTGACTCATCATGTATAGGAATCTCCAGTAAGATGATTAGAAGATTTCTCGGCAGAAAACTTGCAGTACACACAGTAGAAGACAGTGTGGTAATATAGTTAAAGTTCTAAAAGAAAAAAAAATAGTGAACCAAAAAGCATATACCTTGCAAAACTGTCATTCAAAAATGAGGGAGAAATTAAGATATCCTCAGCAAAACAAAATATGAAGGAGTTTATTGCCACTAGATGTGCTCCACAAAAAATTCTGAAGAAAATCTGTCAAGTGAAATAAAAAGAAACTAAACAGTAACTTGAAGACATATGAAAATATAATGATTCCTAGTAACATAAATACACAGTGAAATATAAAAATGAGGATCATTATAATTTTGTTTTGTGTGTCATTTTTAATTTTTTATAGGATTTATAAGATAAATGCATAAAAATAATAATAATAACTCTATCTTAATAGGTGTACAATGTAAAAAAATAATTTGTTAATGGTTACATAAGCAAGGTGCTGGAGCTGAAAATAAGTAGTTTTCTTTGCAATCAGTTAAAAATTTAACACAGATTATTACAATTTTAGAACATTACATATAATCCAGATGGTAACCAAATAGATAATACCTATAGTATACACACAAATGGAAATGAGAAGGGAATCAAGATATCCTACAACTAAAAAACAAACAAAAACAACCTGGTTAAATAATGAGCAAAGGACTTGAAAAGACATTCCTCCGAAGAAGATACACAACATGGTAGAAGGAAGGAGAAGGGACTCGCCCAAGAACATATATGAATGACTCATGGACATAGACAACAGTTTGGGGATTGACTATGGGAGTGGGGGATGAGCTGGGTAGAGGTAGGGAAAGGTGGAAAAATTGGGACTACTGTAATAGAATAACAATACAAAAATTTAAAAAGAAGATCTGCACATGGCTGATAAGCACACAAAAAGGTGCCCAACATCATTAATCATTAGAGAGATGCAAATCAATACCACAATGAAACACGACTTCACACTTACTGCAGTTTGTATAATCAAAACAAACAAAAAAAATCAAATATAAGAAGTGTATGTGTGTTATGTATTGAATTTTTATGTGCCCTCAAAATCCATATTCTGAAATTTTAACCAGAATAGGGCTCTATTTGGAAAAGTATCTAGGGAATTAATTTAGGTTAAAGGAGGTTATGAGGGCGGGGCCATGATATGATAGAATTAGTATCCTTATAAGAGAAAGCACCAAAGCTCAACCCCCTCTGCAGGTATGCACAGAAGGAAGACCATGCAACAACACAGTGAGAAGATGGCCATATATAAGCCAGGATAAGAGCTCTCACAGAAACTGACTATGCTCCAGATATTCACAGACTTGAAGCTTCCAGAACTGTGAGAAAATAAATTTATATTATTTAATCTACCCAGCCTGTGATATCTTGTTATGACACCATACAGTATAGATGTAAACATTTGAAATTTCACCGGGAATGTAAAATAGTACAGTTGCTGTGGAAGACAACATGCCAGTTCCTCAAATAATTAAATGTGGAATTACCATATGATCCAGCAACTCTACATCTGGGTTTATATCCAAATTAATTTAAACAAGATATGAACAGATACTTGTACACCAATGTTTATAGCAACATTATTCTCAATAGTCAAAAGGTAGATACAACCTAATTATCTATTGATGGATGAATGGATAAACACTAGGTGGTATATACATACAATGAAAATTTTTTTCAGCCTTACAAAGGAGTAATATTCTAACATGTGTTACAACATGGATGAATGTAGATTGAAGATATTATGCTAAGTGAAATAAGGCAGACATAAAAAGACAAGTACTGTATGATTCAATTCATAGAGACAGGAAGTAGACTAGTAGTTGCCAGAGAATGAGGAAAGAGAGGAATGGGTACTGTTTTACTGTTTAATGGGTACTAAGTTTTAGTTTGGGAAGATGAAAAGTTCTGGAGAAGGATGATGGTGATATTTGAATGTAGTTAATATCAGTGAATACTAATGGTATATAATTTCAAAGTGGCTAAAATGATACCTTTTATAATATATGTGAATATTATTTTACCACAATAAAAATAAACTGGAAAAAGGGGGTTTCTCTGTATGATACAATTATTTTCATTATTTACAAACATAATTTTTAAATTATTGATATTTTATTATTTTTTTATTCCCATAAAAATCAAATATGTAAAGGAGGTAACATCCACTCTAAGTGATCTACTAAGGGAATCACATCTCCTTGTGTTGCAAGTTATAAGAGGAACTCAGTGGGTTTAGTATAAGTTTGCAAAAGGTGGGTAGAATGATTTTTCTTTGCTCTCAATCTCCTATTTTTTGCATAGGATCATAGTCACCTATGCAATGTGTATATTTGCCAGTTCACAAGTTACCTGAGCATAATGTTCAAATGTTTTCTCCTCATCCATTGGTGACCAGAAGCCATATCGAAAATATTTAGACTCATTGTACCAGATTCCAATTACGTCTGACCATGAAATAGCATAAGATGTCAAATGCTTATTTTCTCCACAGAAAGTATCTGAAAGGAGAGAAAAGGGCTGGGTCATAGTCTGAAAATATGAAAATACTTTACAGGGATGATTTCCTTATTTTACTTTATAAATGTTTTATTGGTCATCCAAGCAATGTCTTTTAAGAGGAGGCAAACTCATTTGTATCTCTGCTGGAAATCTTCTTTCTCATTGATGAATAAACATCTGGTGCTCAGATTTGGTGAGAAACTGACAGTACAAGATAATGTGCAAAGTTTGTAAATCAAATAAACCAACATTTCAGTCTCTGCCACTTAGCTGGTGAAGAAGGGTGAAATCAGTCAGAGCAGACTATGACTTGTAACAGGGCTGATGGTGTGAAAACAGCTACGCTGAGGTATTAAAAATGTAAGGTCCTTGAAATAAATATTTGCTCATTTAGCCATCCCACTTGTGCTGTGGGCTCTTAATTCAGGAGTGCATATCACTCCTGAATGCCTTTGGGGAAGACAAGACACATATTGCTAATTCACTGCTCAACATATCTGGCAAAGATGCCCAATACTCTATAAATATGGAGGTTTCATTAGTATTGTTAAATATTTTATAATAAAAAACCTCATAAATATTAATCTTTACTTGAGTAGGAAGTAGTATTGGCTTTCCAGGAAACTAACAGTGACACACCTATTATATATGCCATGAGATGGAGTCATTTTTGAGCACCTAAAATTGTTCTTCTGGGAAGCTCAGCAGAGTTGAATATAACTTCTCAACTGTATTAGTATTCGAAAGCCCAAGGTATGGCAATGCTGTGGGTGGCTGAAATAACGTAGAGTGGAAACCTTTAGCTACCTATCTGCCCATACAGTCATCATTGTATTACTCAACTACTCTGTAACACTGAGAGCTTTGATACTTTTCTTTTGATGGTTAGAACCTGGAATTTGAAAAAATTGAATATCCAAGCTTAAAAAATTAATGAAACAGTGTAGTGGGCCCCAATTCATTGTCATTTGTGGAATAAATGTAAATATAGATGACAGGAATTAAGTTACCCTTTTTGGTTACTTAACAATCTCTGAGGACCTGTGAGCGCAAAGGGGAGTCATATAGACGTATACCAACTTGTAATTCGCCTCCTAAGTGCATTGCTCTCTGCCAAGTCACAATCCTTTGACAATATTCTGGCATTTTCTGCAGCTTCTTCATTCCAACTCTACAGAGGAAGAGTAAAATATTGTACAAACACAAGATCTTAACATTTCCATAATAAGATTCCAGTTTGTTGTTTTTAAAAACCCAAAGCTAGAAATATCCTCAATTTAAATAATTTAAGATAATTTAAATAATTATACTAATTTAAATAGTCTACTGAAAGAGGAAGATATGACTCCCAATTCATTGTTTTAGCCTTTGAATTTAAAAAATCAAAATTTGATAATAAAGTTCAGGTGTAGCTTCTCTCTCAGAAGTACTAAAGAGGTTAAGTAAATACTTCCAGTAAAAAATACCAAAGTTAGAAATCCTCCCATCACTTATTGGTACATATTATTTAATTTTTGAATCTGTTTCTTCATCTGCAACCTAAAATTCTACCCAATTATTTATTCAAGAATTTTAATATGATACCTTATGCAATAAGATCATGATATGGCAAATCTTGTATGTTCAATAAATAAATGACTGTGATTAGAAGCAGGTACAGTGTCACACATCTCCATATAAAATTGTGAATGACAATAAAAATTATATCTAATACTATCTGCCAGGATCTGTTACCAATTGTGTATGTATATTTCCTTGTTTTTACTCACAGCAATCGTACAAGAGAAGTACTATTATTATTCCCATTTGCAAATGAGAAAATTGAGGCACAGAGATGTTGCATTATTTGTTAAGATAAAACAACAAATATGTGGCAAAATCAGAACTGGAATCTAGGGTATTCTGGCTCCAGAATGAGTGCTCTTAGCTCTCAGCATGTGTCAATTGTGCTGAGTTAAAGCATTTCATTTGGTATATTTCCCAGTAAAATGAAATGCAGAACATCTATATCACTAGTTATGGGACTCTGTGACAAACGTTCTCCCAAATATCTTTTCTTTCTCACACTGTGTTACATTCATTTGAAAGACTGTTCAAATATTGGTATGCCCACATTATCCACCAAAGTTGTGGAGATGGTGTTTCACTACAGGATTTTACAGAAATCATTTAGCTACTCTTTAGAATAATTCTTGGATGACACTCTGACAGAGATTTACAATGTTTATCTTTGTCTCAATGTTTAACTATTATATGCATATGCTGCCATCATATTTGTTTCTTAGAATTATACCTCAGGATGATTAATTTAGTAAACTAAGATGAATTAAGTAATTCATTAGCCTAAGGTCAAAGTAAAAAACATGGTTTCATAGCGTTTGATTGTTTCATTCAAGAAAAGATTTTAGTAGTGAATATACCTCACTGAAGAAGTAGAGATAACACAACACATCCCATTAGGGTACAAGATCTCCTGGCAGTGGAGATGTCATCATCAGTCACACCCATTAGTACAAAATCTAGCCTATAGCGAACAGGTTACCAAATGCTCAGGACTGGAACTTAGCTGGCTCACTTGTCGCTGACTACTTGTGATACATACCGTGATGCACTACCCAGGTCCCTCTCTGAAATAAGAGAGGGACTTATTTCCTCCTAAGCTGGGAGTCCTGCCCACAGAAAGCTCTACTACTTGCCTGTCCTTCATAAAATTGTCCTTATTCATTACCATTATTCCTTCTCTGGGCAGCCCATGTCCAACAGCTAGTATGTGTGGGAACTATAAAGGCCAGGCCACCTCCCTCCAGCTCAGGACAACTCAGAAAGGTTGTCCTAATTTTAGAGTTTCCCATGGGGGTAACTGAGGCCTCCATTGGGACTGCATCATAATCCAGCTCCTCTGTATGCCCAATGTTGTTGCCCTCTCTACCTTCAAAGTCAGGCCTAAATCTGGAGATTGTTCCCCAATAAACACCCAGCATGCTAATTTGCATTTCAGGCTCTGCTTATCTTACTGTGTAAATTATCTGCAACATTCATTATACAGTCTGTTGTTCAGACCTCTTTGAGGAAGCTCTCTAGGACATTACTTCTGATTTATATTAATAAGATACCTTATTTTTGTGATACATCCCTGATTAAAATCACAAATCAGTATTGCACCAAAACTATGAATTCTGCCTTTAACAAGTGGTTCTGTTTAGTCAGTTTTTAACCCAAAGTACAGAAACTTTTTTTTTAAATACCTGCCTGGCAGTCGTGATGGACTTTTTAGCCCTACAGTAATTCTATCATTTTCTTTTTATCCATGTCCTATGTATTGTTTATGGAAGAACTCAATTCCCATATTCCCTTTAAAATATTATTGTTTTATTAGTGAGCTTAATTTATCATCTTGTTGCTCTCTCATACCTTTTGCAATTTAACCCTTGAATACATTCTTATGTTCTAATGTTTCCATTGAATAAACCCCTTCAATCCACAATAATGAAATTCTGAAATCAGAACCTGTAATTTCCACTTACTCTGTAACTTCTTCAATGCCTCTTAGCTACACTTGTTTGTTCATCTGGAAAAGACCATGTTTGTCCTAAGCAAAGTAAACAATTAAGGGCAGGTGCCTGGGGCTGGCCATTTATAGTTGTATCTGTACTGATCCAGTACTTATGACTGGAGAAGCTACTTAATTTCTCAGAGGTCCAGATTAATCATCTGTAAAGTAGAAATGATAGTATGTAATCACAGAATTATTGAATTAAATGAATTAATATGATAGGTTTCAAAAGAATGACTGTCAATAGTAAGCACAATAGGCACATCAGTTACAACACTCACAATGTAACAATGCTGACAATAGCCTTTGATTTTTATTGTTTTGTTCAAATAACACTTAGGATTCCAAGACAACCAAGAGATAAATTTTGAAATCATTTATCTATTCACTTGCTTCCTCTCCTTTGTCACTTGCATGAGGAAACTGTCACTTAGAATCGTCCTCCAGAGTCTGTCCTATTTTTAACCCTTGCTACTTTAGGCCACTCCAGGGTTCAAGGAACCAGGACAAGGTTCCCCCAAAACCTGAATGATACTTCCATGAGATAATAAATGCAATGCTAATCACCTGAGACTTCCCTAAATTTGTTTTGTTTCATAGCACCTGATAAAGCTCACATACGAGGTTTATAGCAGGAATATAATTTCTCTCTCTTTTTATGAGATGCAAGGGAAATGGAAAATACACTTGTTGATATCTGTTTACCTGGCAGCATTACCTGGCTTAGAATCTGGACATCATTATTCTTAGTAAAATGCCTTAGCTTCTTGGCTGTTGCCTAGGGAAAACAGCTATTAAAACGCCTCAACTTGTTAAACAAAGTTTGCTGTATTGAGGATACTGACTGACAGCATCAGCATCAGCAGGAGCCTGACCTGGTCTCCACACCAGACCTTCCAAATCAGGAGCTCAGAGAGAGGGACCCAAGAACCTGCGGTGCACCCAGTTCTTCTGGTGATTCTGGAGCACACTCAGGTTTGAGAAGCACTGTTCTAGAGCACACTGTGAATGAAGCCAGCCTGTTTGAGTTGGAATTGTTACTTTGTCGTTTAATAATTGCATGATTTTGAGAAAGTTATCTTCTCTGGGCCCCTGTTTCTTCTGCTGCTATGCCATAGGTTTGCTTGTGAAGACCAAACATAGTATAATGAAAATGAATAGGACTTTATAAAAACTCAGTAAACACCATTACTGTTATCATCATCATTATTACTGCTGTTTGAATAATCTTACCATTTTCAGCATGTTGCTGGCTACTGGAACTACTCGTCTCCTGAAGGAATTATGTAAATTAACAATTTCTTCTTGGACAACTGCCAATTCAGTAAGGATTGTACCATATGGAACCATCGCTAGTTTTGCCTGTTACCAGAAAGTTAATTAATCTTCCTTCTTTTAACTGGAATTTATCATGTTCAATATATTACTGTACAGACCTACATACAATTTTAATTTATAGTTTACATTGAAAAATGACAAAGAGTATTTTAAAATTTGTTATCTCAATACATTAGTTTCCATTTCTCCAGTACTAGTTTTGAGGATTTCTTTATGTCTGTCTGACATTATACAAGCCTATAGAGCAGTGCAATATTCTGTGATGGGGTTTTGGAAGTTTGTTAAGTGGTACTTTGGACCAGGTTGTTGCAGTTGTTATTGGGCAATAGGAACCGCAATAGGATGTCTTGGTAGCATGTCTTTTACTGACTGACTTTACTTCCTTGGCTCACTCCCCACTGTACCTCCAAGTGTTCTCTTTGCTTCCCTGTTAAACCACTTACAGTTGAATTCTTGTTTAAAGGTATGTGTCTATGAGAAAGTAATATAAGAGATTCATTACTGAGTATAAAGATTCAAGTCTCTTTAACTCAGATTTTACATCTTTGTCTTATATGAGAAAACATTAATATTTATATCTGTAAGTATAAAATATGATTCAAATCAGCTATAATCTAGAATTTGTGTGAAGAAAAAAATATGTTTACCTTTTATCCTGCAATTCATTAAGAAGAAAATAACTCCTTCATGTTTTAGGTTAACATTAATTATAATAAAGAGCAGCTTCTTTTCTGTGTTTGTGATATACCACATATACTTCTTATCTTTAAAAACAGTGGCAGAACTTATGTGGTATGATTTGAGTGATATCTATTTATTCCTCAACTACCATAGTACTATCAATGTAGTTTCTGAATAGACAGGATCAAGTGTCATACCTTTTTAAAATATAGAAATATTTAACATCATTTATTTTATAGCACTAGTTTTAAGGAATAGAGAAAAAGCATAAAGATGGAACTTCAGAAGACCTACATAGTGACTGTTCCATGGGGACATTATTTTCTCAAAAACACACTATTTTGGTGCTATTTCCCCTTCATACTGCAGGTTGCTCTGGTCTAGACTAGAGGAGAATTTGGTGGCTCACAAGAATCCCCTTATCATTTTCAGACTATAACTCACCTTGCTTCTCTGGAAAATCCTTCCCCAGTAATGGCATTTAGTGCTCCTGTCTCATCTCTGAGTATTTTGACAATTCTCCTGTCATTTCCTCTTATTCATAGAATTGGGTCTCCTGAAATAAATTCATTTTGTCCTCCTAATGACTCAGTCAAATTGAGGGATTCTGGAACCCACAATGATAATTCTAGCTGACGTCTCAAGCCTTTGAACTCTTCTTCTCATACCTGTCCTTTAAGGTTCTTTAGTTCTCGAACTCAATGGTCATAGTCTCCATCTCATGGTCCCTTCAAAAGGCCAAACCTCCCTACCTAATCACCTGGTCAAGCATTTCACTGACCATGATTTCCTATTCTTCCAAGCTATTAATAATTTCAGTTATTCTATTAGCCATTAATCTCATTCTTTATTTTCTCCATTTGCCCTCTCTTTTCTTTCTTTTCTACCCATGTCCTCTCATTTCAACAATTGTCTTGCTAAAAGACTGAACCCAATGCTTGCCCATCCCCAATTAGGAACACCCCGACTTTGGATGGGACCAAGAATTTCCCTGCCTGCATTAAGTCAGCTGGGTATTGGCCAAAAGATAACAGAACATAACTAATATTGGTACCACCCAATATCAGGATGTCTAATCTCAAGTTGTCCTTTAATTCTGCTTATCAATTCTACTCATTTACTTGCTTACTCCGCACTGTCTCTCTCCACGATGTTATTACAGAACTTGTACACTTTACTCCAATGAGTACTTCCCTCAATAGATTGTGATATGTCTTATTTTCTTCAGTGAAGAGAAACTATGAGAGGGCAGCTACTTCAACTTCTTTTTATACTGCAGGTAAGTCTCTTGTGGTACTATGGAACAGGTTGTACTTTTATTTTGGAAACTATTTTATGAGGTATAATTGAGATGTAAAATGGCATACATATTCAATGTGTACATCTCAATGAGTTTGTAGTTTAGTATACACTCAGGAAACCGTCACCACCATCAAGACCATAAACATCATCTCCTAAAGATTTTTCCCACCCTCTTTATTGTAACTATTGTTATTTTTTTTGTGTGTATGTAGTAGAAAGACTTAACATAAGGTCTGTCCTCTTGACAAATTTAAAATAGGATAATCACATGTGAAATAATTAAACCAAACCCTTCTTTTATACCATACATAGATATCAACTCAAAATAGATTAAAGACTTAAATGTAAGACCTGAAATTGAAAAAGTCTTGGACAAAAACACAGGTAAAAAGCTGCTATTGGACTTGGCAAGCACAGGCTATCAACATAAGAAATGTTCAAACCTGTAGAGAATTTTTATGAGTGTGAGTCAAACTGACCATAATTGCAGGGAAGCAAAACCTCAATGGATTGAGAAAATCCTCAGGAGAATGGAAGTAATGCACCTTATTTTATATATTACAATCAAAAGTGGATGTATAAATGGATTACATGAAATCCATTGGTGATACAGATTAGGGAGGCAGGAGAAAGCAAAGCAGAGAAACCCCTAGGATTGGATAAAAGGTAAAATGATAGACATATGTTTATTTTACACAGGTGAGTATAAGAGAGTTGGCAGTTAACAATTAACACAATAACAATGAAGGGATTTGTGGTCTCACTCTGGTGCAGTGCCTGTGGTTTGAGAGGCCCCGAAAAAGGAAATTTAACACTCCAAAGGTATGTTATCATAGATTCAAAAAGACAATAGACAGGCTCTGATGGACTTTTGTCAGAAGGTTCTAGCCTAGGACATACCTGCCTGCCATGAACTGCTTTTAGTGAGGAAATTTTTAATTTCAGACCATCCTATGTGGTTCCTTTAGATCTCTGAGTTTGTAAGGCTGCCACACAGGCCTCCCCTGAGCTTGCCAGGTTTAGTATGTGGCCCCCTTTTCAGTCACAAGACAAAAAAAAGAAAGGAGACGAATGGGATTACACTAAACTAAAAAGCTTCTGCACAGCAAAGGTAACAACAAAATGAAAAGGCAATTTATAGAATGGGAGAAAATATTACAAATCATATATATCATAAGGGATTAACATCCAAACTATATATGAGACTCATACAACCTAATAGTATAAAAAAATGAATAAATAACCCAATTAAAAATTACTCAAAGGAAATGAACAGATATTTTTCCAAAGAAGAAAATACATGAAAATGCTCTTAACCTCACTATTCATCAGGGAAATGCAAATCAAAACCACAGTGAAGTATCACCAAACATCTGTTTGAATGGCTATAATTAAAAACAAATGATTTCAAATATTGGCCATGATGTGAAAAAAAGATAATCCTGTTATACAGTTACTGAAAATGCAAAGTGATTCAGCCATTATGAAAAATTGTATGGGGTTCCTCAAAGAACTAAAAACAGCTCATTCTCTCAAAAGCACATTTCAGAACCAGTGTTATTTAGTCTATTCTCTTCCATTTTCCCCCAAATCCCCTATTACACATTATCTTTCCATTTAATCTGCAACCAGTATTTTTTTGTCTTGGTCCATCCTACTGACATTTATTCATAACGATATTGCTTGTATCTTAAAATAAACAAGCAAACCTCTTGAATTATCTCACTTCCACATTCAATCATTGTCCTTTCTATTTTCTTTCCCTGTCAAAATTCCCAAAAAGTTTTCCAGCACTGGCTGTCTATAGTTTCCAGCTGTTTAAGTAACAATAGTCTTACATTCACCCTGTCCTCATTTATTCCACTTCAACAATGGGTTTATATGACTGGTGATACACCTCCCCAACTTCCCTCTTCTCCCACTAGGCATTAGACCATGTCTAGAGAAATTTTTGGTGGTTGTGACTGGATGAGGGAGAGTACTCTGCCACCTTGTGGTGAGAGGCTAGTGATTCCGCTGAACATTTTACAAAGCCCCAAACAGCCCTGAGCCACCAACAAACTCAAATTGTAAATACAATATATTCTCTAAATATCGTTTTTTATTTTTAGATTTTATTTATTCATTTTTAGAGAGAAGGGAAGTGAGGAGAAAGAGAGGGAAACATCACTGTGCGGTTGTCTCTAGCACACCTTCTACCAGGGCCCTGGCCCACAACCCAGGCATGTGCCCTGACTGGAAATTGAACCAGCAATCCTTTGGTACAGAGGCTGGCACTCAGTCCACTGAGCCACACCAGCCCGGGCTTCTCTAAATATCTGTAGCCTACTTGGTCTATTGGCAGCTAACTCCTTTGACTAAGCTGTCAGTGTAGAAAGAGTCTTTTTCTTAGTGTAAGGGATGACACATTCTCTTTGTCTTTCTCCTGCCTCTCATAGGTTTCTTCCTTCACCTGGACTCACTGGCCTCCCAGCATTACCACCTGCCCCATCATCTCTTCACCCTCCCTCTCACTGTCCTATCCAGTCCCTCGCAGTCCATTCTCCAGCCATCAACCAGAGTAAACATTTCAAAGTACAGACACAATGGAGTCACCTTTCTGTTAAAAGCCTCAGCAGTTTACAAGTCTTAGAAAGAACCAGATCTTTAACTGAGCCTATGAAGACCCTGCTGACTTCCCAAGCTCTCTTTAGGATATGCTCCCCTCCTTTTCTCTGCTTTAGTTTCAGTGGTTTTCTCTTTGTTATTCCGATGTGCCGGTTTCCACACTGCTCAGAATATTTGCCTAAGCCTGTCCCTTTGTTCGTACGTTCTCTCAGCTTGCTCTGCCAAGCCATGTCTCTATGCCCTTTAGATCTGAGGTGTGATGTCCTAATCACCAGAGAAATCACTAATTACATTCTACAAGATCAAACCAGCTTAATTACCTGCTTGCCAGTCCCTACACTTTCTAAGACCATATTTTGTAACATTTACCAGATTCTCATGGAAACTATATCTCAGTTAAAAAAATATTTCTGTCCAACTGGATGCCTAGTACCCCAGTAAACTCTAACATTAAAGAGAAATTTAAAATAACATTCAAACCTGGAGGTCAGTCCATTTACTTTATATCTGGAGTTTAAAAATGGAAAGTATTACACTTTTGGAGGGGGAGGGGGACAAGTTAAAACAACTTACCATTTACGTTAACTGAGATATGTATTTGAAGGGCTCTATTTGTCTTATATTCATATTGCCTTTTAAAATTCTTAAGCCTTAATTTTCTGAGCAGACTGTCTATCAAATTACATGCAAATGTTCCAATAACTATCTATTTATAGAATGTAGACACCTTGTTTATCAAGGTCTTCAATCCTTTCATGTTTTTCCTTTGTATTCTTGGACAGTATTGGATATCAGTATGTGATACTGATTCCTCCTTTCACATGTCAACCTGGGCCAGCCTGTCTCCCAGAACTTGGGCTAAGTGGTCTACACCAGTGTACTATTAACTAGGTCTTACAGGCAAATGTAACTTGCTCACTGCCTGCCTTCCCCAACTCCCACCCCTCCCCCACTCTGAAATGGTCTCCATGCTTCAGCCCAGCTTTCCTTTCTTGTGAAGTGTGAAGATCCACCCTCTACATTGAGGGAAAAAATGGATAGAGATTCAAAGGGAAGGAAGGAGGAGTCTGTGAATGATACGGTCTAAACCAACAACCCAATAGTCTAATGCATATCGATTCTCTTTTGTTTATAATATTTAGTAACTTCCATGTCTGACTTATTTAGCATATAAAAATACAAAAACCATTTTCTATTCCAAAGCTATTAACTCCAACTTATAACACAAACATTTTAGGAAACATTAAAAAGTATAATGTTTTCTTTATATCATTGAGGTATCTAGAGGTACATATTAGTGGGTGAGCACAACATATTTGAGCCTTATTTCTTACTATACCTTTGAGTGTTCTGTTGCTTCTGATTGAGGTTCTTGTTTTTAATAAGTAGTGAGATTCAAGCCTTCTATATTTAGGCCATGGCTAATACCTCCATATACATGGTCTGGCACAAATAACGCCTCTTTTTTATTACAAAAGCATAAGCATGTAATTCTGTAACACAACTATATTGCACTCAAGCACACCATATGACATTTTAGGTGAAATGTTCAAATTAAAACTATAAATTGTTACACCCATATTATTGCCCTACCAACCACACTCGAGCAGATGTTACTTCTGCCAGACCCTATATAATACTTTTCTCCTTACTGTTGGCACCATTCATTTTATGTTTAATTTTAATGTGTTAAAATCTTGTTATAGTTATAAATTAGATAATACAGTTTGGATATTAATGGAATACTTACCTTTTCTGAGTAAACAAAACAAAAGTGCTTTTTCCCATTTAGTCATGGACAATACATGGATAAATTATAAATAAGTAATTCTTGCCCTACATTCTCAGTGTTGTTGTTTTTTTTTTTTTTTAATTTTCGAGAGGGACTATAATAAAATAAGCATGGGCCCATTGAACCAAACTACTTATGTTTACTGTTCGGCTCTGCTGCTTCCTAGTTATCTAACCTTGGCTACATGACTTAATGGTTCTCTATAATATAAGATTAAGACTAGCACTTGCCCAATAGAGCAACATTGAGAGTTAGGTGAACGATAGGCAGAGTTCTCACAACAGTGTTTGTAACAAGGTGAGTCTACTACAAGATTAGCTCATATTGTTTCCAAGAAGTAATTATGAAATACATAAACCTCATAAAACTCTTACAGTCAAAACAGGCAGAAAACCAGCAGCAGCAGCAGCCAAAAATAAGAAGTGTTTCATTGTCATCCCTGGAAAGAAAAGTAACATAGTTTTAGATCATTTTCAACTCCTGAGATAGTTTTGTAATCAGACTTTTTAAAAACCACTTTTACATATATTTACATTTTCTGCAAAAAGAAACCAGCAGGATCAGAACAAGATTTAATATGTTAGTCATTGGGATCAAGAGGGGAAGAGAGAACTGTGATTGGAAGAATAATAGACTTAACGTCTTAATCCCTGGAACTGTTGAATATGTTACATTTTATGACAAGAGAAAATTAAAGTAGCAGATGGAATTCAAATTGCTAATCGGCTGACTTTAAAATAGGGAGATTATCATGGATTATTCATGTGAGTTCAATGTAATCACAAGGGTAGTTAAATGTGTAAGAGGGAGGCAATGTCAGAGATGACTCATGAGAAAGGTCTTACCAGCCACTGCCAAGTTTGAAGCTAGAGAAGGGACCATGCACACCAAAGAATAAGGACAACCTCTGGAAGTATCAAGAGAAATGGACATGGATTCTCCTCTGGGCTCTCCCTGCTGATCCTTGATTTTAGCCCAGTGAAACTCTGACCTCCAGAACTGTACAGTAATAAATTTGAGTTATTTTAAGACACTAAGTTTATCATAATTTCTTATAGCAGCATCAGGACAATAATATAAAAACTCAAAAAGATTTGATTTGAATTCTCAATTGCCTATAGAAAGAGGTATGATCTTGATATGAGTAAGTTGTATACGTGATTTAGCGACATTCTATAACATCTGATTATTCTGCCAAGAATGGTTGTCATTGGGAGTCAGGAAAATCAGTTAATATACCCTCTCCTTTATTTCTATTCAATGGAGATTGCTTTAAGGTATTAATGAGTATGGGTTATTAAGTTTGGCTGGCATCTTTTTTCCACAATCTGCCGAGTTTATTTCTGAGTCCACCCTGCTAAGTGATAAGCAAAAGAGGCTAACAGTTTGATTCTTATTTTAAAGAAAACTTCCAAAAAGCAGGTTAAATGATGTATGCAGACTAACACACGTAATGTGGTTTGTTACTGCTCTCAAGCTTCCCCTGCTCACTGCCAAACATGTCTGATATCAGGAGAAATCTGTAAATAAATTTTTTCAGGGAATATGCACATGCAAACAACCTCTTCTTTATTATTTTTTAGTCATCTTTTTCTTTCCCTTCCTCTCTTTTTACCTCCAAAATGTCACATATCCTTAAACCCCAACATTTATGATAATATTGTGACATAGATAATGAAATAGGCATCCTAGTCTCTTACTTAATCCTCAAAAACGCCAGTAAAACACATTTTTTTCTGAGTTAATTGAGGGAAAAATGAAATAAAAAAGACTTACAGAAATATAGTAAGTTAATATATGTGAACATTAATATTTTGTCTCATTATTTACACAATTATTTAAAACTACAATTACATATGTGTGTATATATATATATATACACATTTATATATGTTCACTAAAGTGTCATTATTTAAGTCAGGCCCCATTATGAGGCTGTCTGTAACTTCTGTTGTTGCATTTTCTGAGGGAAAATTTGGGGGAGCTGGTGTGTATGCTCATTAACTTAAATATTATGATGTTTTCATAGGTATACATTAATATGTACCTTGGTTATACCTCAAAAAAACTGTTAAAGAGGTTTAAGACATACCAAAAAAAATGTACTTGTTTCATGCCAATTAAACCACTGGCATTGACAACTTAGATTTTGTCTTTTAAGTCAATTTTTTTACTTATTACAAATTTAGTACTTAGATTTACACATAACACACAATTTCTACAAAATATTGCTTACCATTTTTCCCAGAATTTCTGTCATGATTCATTATGAACCTTATTTTGATAACGTGAATGACTTATAATTTACTCAATAAAATTTTGGCTAAAGTTCGATTTTAGGCTGTTAATATTTTTCTCTATAAGTACTGTAATGGATATATCATTTACATGAGGTTCAAATATCCACTGGCGCAAATGAGTAGAAACATGAAGAGAAAGGTTAATAGTTGGGTAACAGTAGTATGTTAAGCACTTTGGAATGAGGATTGAATTCAGGTAATTATGACGGTGTTGCCATTGGCTCAGAACTATTATGAAAGTACAGACTTTGGGCCCTGAGAGAGGCCTCAGGGATAGAGTCAGAAGGTGGGGCTGGAGGGATGGAAAAAGCCAGGGAATAAACAGAGCTTGTGGCAACGAGCAAATCCTGCAGAAATAACAAAGGTACAGACTCGGAAATGAGAATTGGACAGAATGATTTAGAGGTTGAGTAGAGATTGTGGGGGTAGAAAAATAAGTGGGCCCAGGGTAGAGACTGTGGTGACTCAGACTGAGGCTAATACACTAGAGAATTAGGACAGGATTTGTCCCAGGACTTGGACCAAGGCCAAGCTTCTGGAATAGTCTAAACGGTCCTTCATTACCTGGAGGACTGCAAATTTAGGAACTAAGGAGGTCATTTTAACCTAAAAATTATAGTTGCTTGTTCTGAGGTAAAGGAAGCGTTTCTGAACAGAAGTATTACAGAAGCAGCCAGAGGTACCATCTCATTGGCTTTAACATCAGTCCCCACTTAATGCTTATTTTGTATACAGTAGGCAATTTTAAGCCAAAACTCTTAAATGTTCTTAGACAATAATACCAGAAACTTGATACACTATTTAAGTTTATTTTCTTGTCTCATATTATATTATTATTAATATAAAAACAGAACACAGAAATTTGTGTTATATTTAGTAGAAGAAAAGATAAAAAATGTGGGGAAAAAACTGAGGAGAACTGCCCTTCTGGCATGCCCATAGGTATGTGTTCTGATATATTAAATTGTTAGACCATGATTGTTTCAGGAAGCACTTATGTGAAGAACAGACCCTTTCTTGCTTAGCCAAGGAATTCACAGGAGTGGACGCTACAAGGAAAATGTTGTCACTCTTTTTATCTTTGTCTCAAGGAATTTGTCAATTAAAAAATTACTAAGGTATATTTAGTAGAGTACATAAATCATAAGTATATAGATTGATAAATTTGTAAATATATATATATATACACATATATACATGTGTAACCACCACCAAAAGCCATATATGTAATAATTTCAGCACTCAAGAAGATCCTTCATTCCCCCTTCCAATCAGTAACTCTCAAAAGTAAAAACCATTCTGATTTCTGTAACTAAGGGTTAATTTTATCAGTTTTGAAGCTTCATATAAATAAAAAATTATATTTTTAGTATTTAACCTCTTTCACTTGATATTAAGCTTATGATAATTGTTGCATGTGAAGTTTATTTTTGTTAATAACTGTAATATTCTACTGTATGCACACCATATAATTTACCTTCTCATTCTATTATGGAACATTTTCTTTTCAGTTTAGAGCTGTTGTGAAAACTTCATGAACATTTTATGCATGTCTTTTTTCCATATTACTATTTATTTTTTTGAATATGTACACATGAGTAGAATCATTGGTTATACAGTATACATATGTTTTCCTTCAGTAGGTACTGTAAAATATTTTTTCAAAAGAATTATAAAAATTTACATTTTTCTCTTTCACTAGCTTCACATCCTCACCCATAAGTGCTATTCTTTTTTCTTGTTTTTTTTAAACATTTTTATCCATTATGTTTGTACAATGGTATATATCACAGCTTTTTTATTTGTCTAATGATTAATGATATTGAATACATTTCTATATGTTTATCAGCTCCTTTGTTACCACCTTTTGTGAAGTTTGTCAAATCTTTTGCCACTGTTGTAATTAGGTTGACTGTATCTTACTGGTTTGTAGGAATTCTTTGTTTTTCATAAAAAGTATTTGTCAAATGTATATATTGCAAATATCACCTGTTAGTTTGAGGCTTATTTTTTGAACTCTTTTAATTGTATCTTTTATTAAACAGAAGTTTTTAATTTAAATATGTTCAGTTTATCTTTCTTTATGATTAACAGTTGTGCTGTGTATATGTGCATGTGTCCATCCATTTTAAAAAATTCTGGTCAGCCCGAAGTCATTAATCATAAAATTATTTTCTTCTAGAAGCTTGATTCAACATTGATGAAATATTAAAAACAAACAAAACTGGATGACTTATACTATCAGATATAAAGATTTATTACAATGTTGTAAGTAATTAAGACAGAGTACTAGCAGCACCAGTGTACATAAACAAACCAAGTGATATAATAGAATACAGAAACAGATCTCTGTATACAGCTGCCTGATTTATGACAATCCATGAAATGCCTGGCAACTCTCCAACGTAAAATTTGGAAATAGTCTACCTTCGGTTATAAAAAAGGCAGGGCCACTGCCTATTTGAGTATGAGTCTGGTTGTTTTGGAAGAGTCTTATAGTTCATGAAATAAAAGATGCTTACCTTGGCACTTCAAGATCCATATAACTACATGGTAATCTGCCCAGCTACAAGAAGTTCATGAGAATGATCTGAATAAATAATATTACTTCATAATTGTATACTATGACTAAGTTTATTAATCCCTTTATTAAAAGCATGGAAACACCTAACATTTAGATGATAATTGATTGTGTTAAGTCTGTACATATCTCTTATTTAACATGATAATGATGTTATTAGGTAGTCATGTACCATTAATCTCACTTTTGAAATAAGTAACCCAACACTCAAAGACATTGTATAACTTACCCAAGTTGACATAGTTTGTAAAATTCAGTGTTGTGATGAGAACCAGATATATGGTATACAGTGTGCTCTTGCTTTTGAACAACACTCCACAGGAAAGATTTGTTCTCTGAGGAAGTCAGTGCAAGGAATGCGCTGTTAGAGAGCCAGGAATTTATAGCAGACAAAGGGCATGGGAGCATGATGATCAGAACAAATTTAGAGCTTGTGAAGATTACAAATCATGATTGAATGCATTTCTGGTTTATAATCCAGGCAATATCTTCAATGGACCGCATAACTCTTAAATGTCCATATTTTGGAACAAGATGCAAAGATTAGCTGCATGAT